CTCTTTGGGAGCAGAGGGGACCTCAGCAGATGCTCTGTAGCACTAAGTCAGTCAGACCCTGATGCCTTGACATTTCAGAGGTGGTGAAGCTTCAGGTGGGAGATCTGCGCTGCGCAGCCTCACTCCTGTCTGGGAAAGAGCCCGCGTAGCCGCAGATCATCCCCTGCTAAGGCATTTGAAGTTGGCCACCTCTGCGCCTCCACCACAACAGCACTGGTTTGTTCTTCTGCTGGGAAGCCCCAGTTTCACTCGTCCTTCTGTGCAGTCTGCCTCCTCGAGACATAACTGCTTCCTGGCCCCAGCATATGCATAAAATCACACTCCTGTATCTGTATGTATCGCACACCCGCACACTTGTCTTCCCTTTCTGGCTAAGACGTCTGCAAAGAGAGGAGTGGGACGAGAAGTGAATGGACGTGAAGAATTGAGGTGCAAAGAGCTGCAGCTGCAGCCAGTGGGTATTGTTTCCTAGCTGTACTGTCTCCTGTACACTCTGCTYCCGGGCAGGAACCACAGCTTGCTTCAGCTTTAAGGAAGAAGAGAAAATGAAGTCAGTGGGAGCCGTTCTTTCCTGGAGAGCTCTGCTCTGCACCTGAGCCACGCTCCTCCTGCCAACCTGTCTGCCCCAGAGCAGGGCTCTCCTGGAGGGCTGTGCCCCATGGCCCTGTCACCCTGGGTGGACGGGGTCCCTTCCCAGCCCTGTGGTTCCTGCACAGAGCCCAGGCTTTCCTGGGAAGTGGCTTCCACGGTGGTCCCTGAATGTACCCTGCCAGTGACATTTCTCCATTGCTCTGGCAGTGTCTTGCCCAGTCTCAAACTTCTCTCAGTTTTTATAAGGCAGACTCTTCCTGTAACAAGTTTTAACACAAAGCTTTTCAAACCACTCTCTCTGCGCTAACTTTCTGTAACGAACCCAAGAAGAAAGAGAGAGACCCTGTCCATGCATGATGTGGAAAAATGTTTGGGATTTTTAAAAAAAGAAAAATGAAAAAAAAACCGAACAAAAACTTTGTACGATGTTGCACTAAAACATGTTTTATACAACACACCCAAGATCTGTAGTAAACTGTGTTGAAATTGTGAATTCTATTGCTGCTGGTTTTTGTCAGATTTGGGCTTTTGTTATGCCTTTATGTGCACTCCCTGCATAAAGGTGTGCTRTGGCCCTCCTCTTGGAAAGCCTTTCCCTCTCCCATTGCCCTACTCCTTGATGCAATAACTTCTCTCCCTATCACCGGTAGCACATCTCCTTGCTCTTGCAGCTGGAACTTGCAGACACCTGGCACCCTCTGATTTGATACATGCCACTTGCATTCCTTAACTCATGCCATAATAGAATACAACATTTAATAGCGGCCTGTCAGGTCTTTTTATTGAATGGGATACACTGTTTTTGAAATTGTTCTGAAAACAGTAAGTACTTCGCTGTGTCATAGTCTGGATTTGAAGAAAAACCTTATTTTAATAGAATTATGCATAGCAAATGTTAAGCAAATTACCTTTAGTAACCTTGATGAAAGCAGAATATGCTTCACTACAGAAGTTGATGTAAAATGCAACCTGTTAATTCTCATTACCCACTTCTACATTAAGTAAGGATCTGGTCAGCAGTTTTAAACTCCCACATTCACTGAAATAGGGAAGTACCATGATTTATTCCTACCTTTATTGCACAAGTGCTGTGGAATTGTGCAAAATGCACTGCTCACATAGTTTTAAGTTTGGGATTGGGTTTTTTTTCTACATTGTAATTCTATAAAGAAAGCTGTGTTGTCCCCAGACACAGTGGGCTGCTTGTGTCCCCCGCTCCCATCATAGGGGCAAGACACTGTTTTGGGGCAGCCTGAGTGTGTTTTGCTGTCTGTCCTGCTGCTGCAGCAAGATCAGCAGGGCTGCAGTGGATGCTYCTGCTCCTCTTGAGGACCAGACAATGTGCAGCCACCCTGCAGTGCAGGAGGGGTATCTCAGGAGACCATGGTGTGCTCCCATCAAACCACCAGCCCTAACTAGCACCAACATGGCCTTCCAACTGAAGCCAACACACACACAGAAAAGGCAGGCCTGGCTCTGGTTTATAGGCAGGAGATTTAATCCGGAGGGTTTGCAAACCAAGCGAGAGAAGACAGGAGAGCCAGTGGGTAAGTGTGCCCGTGGGTGCCCTGCCATCTCCCACCTATATGATGTGGTACAAATCCTTGGCTACCTTCTCCAGGCGGTCCTTGTACTCCAGGTGGGCATAGAGGGAGAGGGGAACCCCCTGGAAGCCATAAATGACGCCCCACCAGCTGGCGGCGATGGCAGCAGTGGAGTCGCTGTCGCCCCCGTGGAAGAAGGCGCGGTGAGCCAGCTCTGTCCAGGAGTCCCCCGCGCCCAGCAGGGCATCGTAGGCGATCATGGGCGCATCATGCCCGCTGCTACCCCCCCAGCCGCTGTAGCTGAGCGAGGTGTAGAACGAGTCCCTYTCTTCCACGCCGTATTTGGGTGGGAACGTGGGCGATGAGACGCCGTCCGAGATGCCTCTCTCCACCAGGTATTTTTTCCACTGCTCTTCGAAGTAATACCTGGCAAAGAGGGGATGGGATGGAGTGGCTGTAAGAGTTGTYCCAGGGCAGCAACACACACCCGAGCACCGCGCAGGCGCCAGCGGAAAACACACCACGCCAAGAGCCCGGAGCAAGGGCTCAGCAAAATGGCAGGCGGCCCCCTTTTGTCAAAACTAGGGGCATGATTTACAGTAAGAGGCACAAGGACATGTTTCAGTGAGTTASATTTCCCCTCCCTCCAGCCACATGGGAGAATGCAGCCCAGCACCTGCAGGATTCAAAGGCTCAGAGTGAGAACTGAGTCATCCTCCCAAATTCAGAGCAGCTCTACCTCTGTGTGTGCCCCTGCACACAGAGCTGCAGTGAATATGCAGTCAGATTTGGTTATAACTTTCAGACTGAGCTCAGCCCTAAGCCTGGTGCTGTTCCCCAGCCCTGCTTCCCACCTTTTGTAAGGTCACAGTTGCTCGAGATGACAAGTCTACCTACTTCATACTGTATCCAAAAAACGGTCACAACTACATGACCCAAACAACCTGCCTTTTTTTCCCCAAGTTAGAGGTATTCTGAATTGATTCAATCCTGTGGCAGGTGTGTGCTGCTCTAGGAATTTACCATAATGTGATTATTGAAACTTAAGTATGAGCAGAGGTCACTCTGTTGTACGTGGGCTTTAAGAAATGCAGTGCAGGGAGTGCAGCTCACCAGTGTTCCATGTTCTCCTTCACGAAGAAGCCAGACTCCTGCACGTAGGTTTTTGCCTGTGGCAGCACGTCCATCAGCCTCTTCCCCCAGGCCARGGGGGGCACGCTGTTCACTGCATAAGCTGTGAAGAGGGCTGAGGCCAAGGCCCCCAGGTAGCCAGTGGGGTGGTGGTGGGTCATGCGGCCGCTCTCGATGCTGACTCGCACCAGGGTGTCCAGCTGAGCGGGCCGGTAGAAACGCAGCCCGATGCACATGGCGCGCATGGCAGCCCCGCAGCCTCCTGCCCGGGGGTTGAACGGGATCTTCCAGCCATCCGGCYGCCCCGGATCCAGCTTCTGGGTGCTTTCCACAGATGCAGAACCTGGACGTGGGAAAGGCAAAGYCCAAGGGAAAGAAGAAACAGGAACATCACCAGGAGATAGCTTGGGAACCAGGGAAAGAGAGGCAGGGCAGTGGGGAAGAAAACATTGCTCTGCATAAGGGATTTGAGCTTTAAAAAAAAATCTGTTGTCTGCTCATGTATATATCCTGTCTCAAACTGCTGGAGCATCCTGCATTCTCCCTAGCAGACTTCATAATTTCTATTTGTGAAAATAATTTAAAAGTCTAGGGGGTAAGAGAYGCTTCACTGATGATTYATTGACATTGTTTATATTTACATTTMATGTTATTTAATAATTTATAAAACATACATACTAATAGATACATATACACAGATCTAGATCTTTATAAACAGAAAGGTTTGTAGGATCCCTGACACAAGGCTAGTCTAGCTAAGTGCTTTTGCAGTTGTTTAGCCTTTTTACAGAACCTTTTAAGGGCAGAGACCCCCCCCCAAGCTCTTCAGGAATCTCTCCCRTTGCCTCACTGATAGAAAATGTACTGATAGAAGATGTTTTCCAGCTCTCCCTTGCTGCAGTTTAAGTTTGTCAAAAAGCCTCGAGTGTAGCACATTTTTCACCTCAATGTGGTCTGCATAACTGGCTTTACTGCACTCCTCTTCCATGAACTGAAGAACAATTGTATTATGTGAGACCAAAGGTTTGTCCAGCCCATTAGCCCATCTTCAAACACTGCCACTCACAGATAACTACAAAAAGACTGTAAAAAATGAGGCAAGCTCACCTACATTTCTTTCATATTTCTGCTATTTACTTTTTAATAAAGTAAAGAAACTGCTTCTTCCCAGTGCTTCTTCAGAAATTTACTTGTTAGGTAAATACATTCATAGGACAAAGTTGTCTGAAAGACACATCCGAATATTAGAGCCCAGCCAAGTAAAGCATGTTTTGAGTGCTAAGTCCAAATGCTTCTGTGTAAAGAAGAAACAGGTTTGCAACATTCAATTGTTTTTGATTCTCTTCTGCCTTGCCTTTCTCCTGGTCTTCTCTTCTGACCCAATCTGAAATACTTCTTTTCCAGCAGGAAAGTAAATCAAGGCAGGTTTCAAGCAGCTTCATGTAAATTTTAGTGTGTTGGACAATGGCAAAAGTGGATTCAAAAGACTAACCCCAGTGTGCCCAGTCCTCTYGCAGACACATGGGGTAACAGCAACAACTGGCACACTCACACCCCCAAAGCTAGACTGCTATTCCTGCATTTTCCTAACTGGAACAGGATAGCTGATGAACTGGCAGGTGCTCTGAAAGTCACACTAAATAGAACAGAGTAGCAAGGAAGAAACCTGGTCAAGAAACTTCACCTCACTCTATATTGTGACTCCCTTGGTGTGACTCAGTCACCACTGTACATTTTTGGCAGTAGGATTTGATTTATGGCAGCCTGTTTTACCTGCATTCACAGCATCCTTGTAACTGAAATACCTCCAAATCCATGCAGCGCTTTAAGACTGGCTTCTGAACATATGCTAAAAATAACTAGCAGCTGGCCACTGTCAGGAATAAAGAAAGTCGCATGCTGGCCCAAGWGTCTTTGGCTCTACTGGGTTGGTAACCACCAATGTCTAAATGCAGTGCCTATGAGTTTGCTTTTAGGATGTCTCAATGTGGGAACATGTTCAGGCCTCTAAATCTGGTTTTCATCCAGTTTATTAATTCAGTGCAGGCTGCCATGTATCAAAATTGTTAAGAGGGGTATCGGTATAATTGCCAATTTTATGATGAAAAACAGAAAAGTGACGTATTTTTCTGAAAACCTCACCATACCAAGCATTGTAYTTATGACCTGTACTAGGATGTTAAAATGAACCTGTCAAGCAAGGCCACATTTTTAAAAAGCTGTGCCAACTATTCTGTATATTCTGGTAAAAGAGAACTTCTTCCAGGAAGACAAGGGGGAGGGGAGAGAGCACAGTGACTAAGGTAGCTTAAAATCCAAATATACATAACAAAAGCAAAGATCACTCTTGCTGAAATTTCGAGAAAAATATTTMTTCAGGACATGTCTGGACAGGTTGAGGCCACACACCTCAGTCCYTGATCAAAAGTGAGATTGCTCTTGCACTAATTGTAGTTAGAAGAAAAAGGAAGATGACAAGGCTTTAATGCAAAGAAAACCTAGTTATTTTGTAATACAATTTGCTTGCAGCTTTAAGCCTGTGCATATTATTTTAGGAGATGACTACTGATAACTTGCAGGTGGAARAGATTGTGTAAAACAAACCAGTGTACAACAGCTAAGACTCTTATGATTTATGAAGTATTACAAGTATTATCCTCATGCTTTTAAACAGTTAAAATATTAAAACATTTGAAAGCCGATTTAGAAGACTAAGCTGGAATCACATCAGGACCTTTTTTAAAAATACGTTTTAAAAAAACTGCTGAAAGAGTTCTTGAATTAGGAAATTGTTTTGGAAATCCTTCRTATCCTTGTTAAGAATCCTTTGTACTAACAATAGAAAACTAAAAGTAACCTGAGGATGATACTGGYCTAAGAAAAGGAGAAATACAAGGCAAAAGCAGTGTGTGAATAAAGACGGCCTGAAAAAGTTTCAACAACAGCTGGACCCTATTTTTGGAATAGGATTCTGTTCCACTTATCTAGACTCCATGAGCACAGACAGTAGCAGTTGTTCGGGATTGATCAGTATCTATAAAMAAGGTGAGTTAAAACAACCACACAGTGGTAAGTAATTCCAAAGGGAGAGGACTCGGACCAAAAGACAATTTTGAAGCAGAMGGTTTGCTGGAGAGGCACTGTAGTTGTACCATGAAGAAAGAAGTGTCTGTKCGAGTGTAGCTTAATTCATTGGTTTTGTAATCCGAAAGGAACTATGATTTTGGGGCTGTGGCACATCACAAACAGCAATAATGATTGTAGGGATTACCCTGTCACTRATTTACAACAGTGAGTTCTCTCCTGGGGCAGCATCCCTGAGGGACCCTGGTGTGGCTGTCCTGTGACTCATAACCATTGTGGGAATCCCTTTGTTACTGCACGTTTGGGTTTTCAGGTCTGCACTCTCATGTGAGCCTTCAGTGTGACTTTCCCCCACTGTTCTAAGGAAATCTTTTCTGTGTTGGGTGAAAATTCCAACAGCAACTTTCCATTTTCAGCCTTCAGGTCTGCAATTCCCTGGTGAGTACTTACTTAGGTCGGAACAGCACCACCATGGGTTATGTTCTCAGCTAAAATCCGTTTATTCTGCCAGAAGAAGATATTGACATGCAACTTTYATCATTAGGATTTGCCAATATGGCATGGAGACTCCAGAGTGCAGAAAGCTTTTCAGGATATGGATTAGGTATTCCCTTTGGCAGTCAGTGGGCATTAATTAAACTGCTAAGGGTCAGGATTTAAGTTCTCAGAGCTGCAGCAGGAGCAATCCAGAAGGCTCTTGCAGGATCGTTCCCAACAGGCTTCCATTTTTTCCAGATTCCTTTCCCTACTTCCCCCTTAAATTTCCTTGGAACCACTAAACAATGCATATTTTTTTTAACTAGATACTCTCACCTTTCCTTGTCACTCCTCTTAGGGTCCATATCAAATTTGCTTTCAAATTCTTCACTTCCAAATGGGAACTTCTTTTGGGCATGTTGCAGCTCAGTCACAGAAGGAATGCAGTAGGTGTCCTATTCCTAGGTATTATTTACTAACATTTAAGTTTTAGGTTCTTCTCCTTTCCATCTCAGGCTTTARTCACCAAGCTTAGACAGTGAAAACACCTTCCAGGTGCGGTGTCACTGCCAGCTGTGGAAGGTTCACCTTGGCTGGGGGAACTAAAGATGCAGTGAATCTCGTGCAAGTTCAACCTGCCAGCTTCTGCTGTCCTGACAAGCATCATTACCTCTTCCTAAATATTTTATTATTTAGGCCACTCCAACAGCTGGGACTGTGGGTGTTAAAGAAAACTGGTAATTTAGTTCAAGGATAGGAGGCCACTGTAGAAAGGTAAACAGAATAAATTCATGCTCAGGTTTCCAAACCTGGATTATTTTGGAAATTCACAGCTCTAATACACTTTGCTCAGTGGCACGATTTGGCGTCTCCCATGTTTAATGTCAAGCCAGAACACTCAACGTATTCTGTCAATTCCAAATAAGCATGTCTAAGTATACATACAATTTCAGTGTCTAAACTTTGCACAGGGCTGCCAAATTTGAGTGTTTCCTGGATCTTTCACACTTCCTGCACTGGACAAATTAGAGGCCCAGCCTAAGCAGCTCCTATTTAAGTTTAATCCAAGCATTCAGAAGAGCCTGGGTCATGAGAACAGAGACAGATGGAATCCTCAGGGAAGAGCTGGGTCAAGGTGAGCTAGGAGCTACAGGGATATGTTGTACTTGTCTTGGCTACTGCAGCCTGGCAAGGCACCCTTCCTGAATACTGCCTGGGACACAAATTCAGCACCACAGTGTCTGTGCAGAGCAAAGAGAGATGATGGAAGTACAGGGTTCAGAAAAGAAGACTGTGGCCTGACTGTCCTGTACCAGAAAGCAGACATGCAGAGCTAGGCACAAGCAGACTTTGGGTTTAATAAACTAAATTATTCCAAGCAAGGATCTTGCACAAATATATTGTGCCTTTCAATTTATTTTACATGCAATTTGTTGCATTTATGATGAGAAGTTCTGTATAAATCCACTGAATGTAGGAATCCAGAGTGCAAAAGCCATCATCCTTCCCTTCAGTTCAAAGCTAGGCCTCAAACACCCATAAGAATGTTTTGTAAACATGGGCAAAACAGTATCTTGTTCATCTAGTTCAGAGAAGGCCAAACCACTTCAGCTTGCCTTATTCTGTTCTCTSTAGCTCATCCTGAAACAGGTACTGAGCATGGAACACTTTTGCCTTTACATGAAATACAATTCATGCTGCAAACAGCCAAAAGCCAGGCCCAGCCCCAGCTCCAAGCTGCAGGAGAGACAAGCAACAGCACAGTTCTGCTCAGACAGAACAATGGAGAGGTTACCTGGAGCTCTGCCCTCCATGTCATTCATGCACTCCTTGTAGCTCTTGGCAAGCAGAGTGTAGAGATGTGGTAAGCTTGGGTTTTTCCCAGCAGCTACCAGGGCTTCGGCTGTGGCCAAGTGCATCACGGTGTCATCGCTGACTCTCCAGCCCAGGATGCTGAGGTTGCCCAGTCCCCCCATCTGCGCCAGCTCCATGTGGATGACAGGGCCACTCTGCTGGAACTCCCATCTCCCGTTGTAATAGCCCAGCGTGTCACCAACTGCACTTAGCACTATGGATGCCACGTAGTTTTCCACAGCCTTAGGACACATTTTTTGTCCCACAACTGCAATATAGAAAAGACTATGAAAAAGAAAAAAAGAGGGGAGAATTAAAAATAAATCTTTCCCAGTTTGTTACAGGCCTGTACTGCTAAGCTCCAGCAGACTGGACACCCTGCCTAGCACACAAGTCTCAGAGGATGTATTTCTGCACAGCACATGGACCCTGTGCACCCACCATGGGCAAGTGTGTGACAGCTYCTGGGCCGCCCAGCCCCGGGCCAGGGGCAGCTGGAGATGCCCTGCTGTGATGCTGGCAACAGCCCAGGACAACRCTGCATGTCACACCCAGTTCAAAGATTAAAAACCAAGCGCAGGACTGCAGAACCATGTGCAGAGTAGGTGAGCACAACCACGTTCTGCATCTTTTTGAGTGCATGAGCGAGCTCAGATCAGCRCCCATCGGCTTTTGTACCCTGGGGTAAGGCGAGGCTGACCCTCAGGGGTGGGTACAGAAGGAAGGGGTGAGCTTGGCTGAGCTGCTCAGCTTTGGCAGAGCCAGGGAATGGCGGCGACACCTGGCCCTGCTCCTCGGGTCCGCTACAACAGCGGGAGCTCGCCCAGGCAGCGCTCCCATCTCGCGGCTACTTCAGTCACGAAACACCAACCACGCCCTGCCCCAAAAACACTCCCCRGCTGAGGCTTTGCTTTTCCCTTCGCTCGGGAGGAGCAGAAGCGGGGAAGGCCGGCGGCCCGTTCGCAGCCCCGCGGTACTTACACAGCGAGCCCCTCGATGGCCGCCAGCCCGGCGAGCACGGCCGCCACTTCGAGCAGTCTCCGCCGAGGGCTGCCCCCGCCCGGGACCCTGGGGGACCCGCCCCGGGCCATGGGGCGCGGTTCGGCTTCCGCAGCTCTCGGCCGGGCGTGTTTCACCCGGCCCGGGCCGCTCGCCCGGGGCCGTCCCTCCGCGGCCTCCCGGGGCGGTGTCAGCG